CAGCTTCCAAAATGGATCTTGCAAAACTTCTTTGTTTGCATGGGTATGACAGTGGGTCTGTTGTAAACACGTTTCCTTCCTGAGCTGCAGGACATAGTACAATGAGATGGAACTGGTTTTTTAATTTCTGTTTTTGCCCTGCCAGCCTTTGAAGCTGGGCACCACAGAAGAACTCGGATCCCTCGTGCATGCTTATAAGTAATTCTCATCAAATCCTGAAATCTGATTTTGCTGGAGATCTTGCTCTGGTGGAGCCCCATTGGCAGGGGGATGCTGAGACCTGGTATGTATTTCAGCCTGTTTATTCACTGTAAACTGAGCAAATGCTGCAGCCAGCTCACCTTCTAGTAATAATTAATGGAACTTTCTTAATCTCATTCACTGCTATTTTAAAATATTTTTATTTACACTTAGCAGTGACCACAGATGTGGCCAGTGGCACACAAGCTGTGCTGTTTGACTGATCAGAGCAAGCTCAGGTTGCAGCTGCTTTTCCCTCACTAGACATGCGTAGGAGAGCCTGGAACATAAATATTTCGGGTTTGATTATACAAAAATATTTATTTTTTTTATTTTCTGTGAACTAGATGTTACCATAAGAGCATATCTCTGGTTGGCACTTGCTGTCAGTTGGATATATGCCTGGCGTGAATCCGAATACATTGTGTGGCTGTTACTCCAATAAAACTGAGTTATGTGGGCTTTTGTGGGAATCACACAGATGCAGATAACAGGAGTGTGGAGTTAAGGCAGGGGAATCTGTCCTCTGTGGTCTCATGGGGGTTTGTGTTGACTTCGATTGCTGGTCTAAGGCCTGTTCCTGGTTTGCACTGGAAGCTCTTCAAGGTTTCTAGACATTTTGAGTCTTGCAAAAATTGGTATTTGGAAAACAAAAAATAAGCTGGCAGACTGATGTGACTGTGTGAGAATCTCGGATGAACAAGAAGATTGGAGCACTGAGTGCAAGGAACAACTTGCCCTTGTATAAAGATATTATTTCAGGTCCATGGTGGAGTAGGGCTGTGCCAGCATGGGGTTGTGCCTGTGCTAATTAGCCTGGTTACTCCTCAGTATTAAATTCAGTGGTGCTAATTATTGTAGGTCATGTGATGTAGCTATTCTGCTCACAACTTCTGACCCATTTGCTGTGCTCCAGGTACGTGCAGCTTTGGGAATGATCACAAGAGCTCAGTGGCCAACACCACTGAAGCCACTGTGGGGACTGGGGAGCTGGGGGGGGTGGCTGTGCAGAGGCTGCTGAGATGGGCTTGCATGCACTGAGCTCTATTTGCAGGGTAGGTAACTGATGGTGTGCATCAGCTGTGATGAAAAGCTACCTTTGGGGGAGAGAAAAGGAGAAAACAAAAAAAAGGGGGGCAAAGGAAAAAGAGAAGGAGAGAAACTGTCCCCAGGAGCTGGCCATCCTCTTTCCCCTCAAAATGTCAGATGGGTTTGCACCCAAAACAGAGGGTAATTTGAAAAACAAATCTTTTATTCTGAAGATGGGTTACTTTGGGGACTGGCATATGAGAACCTGGACTCAGATGAACAGCAGGTTTCAGGGCTGAAAGATTTAACCCCTAAAGGCCCACTACCTGTTGTGTTTCCCTCCAGAATAAATGTGGGTGGTGGAAAAAAAGTTTTTTTTAATATAAAGAAGCACTTGCCAGCACAGAAGCTGATGTTATAACGGTTAGGCAATATTAATTTGTAGTTGTGTGTTTTCAGGGTCAGCAGTGTGGGCTCCCTGGAGCATTAGGGTAAAAGAGCTTTTTATTCTTCCCTGCCCCCCCCCCCCCCCCCGAGACCAATCAGCCATTGGAATAATCTCCGCAGGGAAGTGGTGGACTTTCCAGCATTGGGCACTCCTAAGATTTGGCTGGACAGGGTGCTGGGCCATCTAGTCTAGGTCATGCTTTGCTGAGAAAGATTTAACCAGACGACCTTTGAGTCCCTTCCTGGTATTCCATGATTCTGACTCTCCCAGCATGATGGAGGAGCAAGGGACTGCTTGGGGAGCTGAGGAGGTGACACAGGAGCAGCCACAGAGAGCAGCAGTCTTTAATCCATGCTGGGAACATCTTTCAGACCCTTCAGTGTTAACTGTGCAGCATGTTGCTGTACGCTCTGTGGATCAGTCTGTAAAACTTAAGCAGTGTGTCTGGATGCATTGCCCCTTGCCTGCAGTGGATGGCTTCCAGAGGAGTACACATCCTGTGCGCTTTCCCTGATGCTCTGTATTCCCTAGAAAAATCCAGATTACTGCTTGGGGTTAAAAATGTAACTCAGTGCCTTAGGGTAAGGGATCTTGCTGCTTTCTGGTGGTGGTGTGGCAACCTTGACCCCTGCTTCAGGAACTGGCACTGCTGTTTTGTGGCCAGATCCCAAAGCATGCACAGAAAGACCTTTTGCACCAGGGCTGTGGAGATGGCTTTTCTCAAAACCTGAAATATCTAATGTTCCCTGCTTACCAAGATCAGCAGCATCTGTTCCACACAGGGATCACACTGCGCAAGATGTGCATAAAAACTAAAGCATCTTACTAAGAAATAGTCTCTAAAGGAGGTGGTTTCCACAACATTAATTTTTTTCATTGCTTTTGTAAATTTAGAATATACCTAGGAATAATTTAAGCTCGAGAGTAACCAGTTCACACAAAGAAAAAACCTCATGGCCCAGGAAGGCTACAAAAATTAGGAAGATGCTCAAGTAAGCAAAACATTAGGCACAGTGAAATAAACGTTAAATAGGAACACAAAAAATCTAGGACCTCAGCATAGGCTTTGTAGGCACTTATGTGCTGGTGGGACTTTTAAAATTAAATCAAGGAAGCCTTAATGTTTAAACAGTACATTTAAATTTTAACCTGTGTGTGTGTTTGTCATCCATGCTTCACAGCAGCTACTTGCTTAAAGGCCCAATGACAGCGCTCTTCTGCATGCAACAAGAGGCTATTATTTCCCCAAGATGCAACCAAAACCCAAACCATTCTAACCAGTATCAGACTCTACTTGGGGGCTAAATGGAAGGAGGGGGAGAAATGCTGCAGGGGGCTCCTCGGCTGTCCAGTAAAGCAAAGATGGAGCCATGGAATTGCTGCTGTGAAGGGTTGGGCTGACAGCAGGTGGAAAAAGCAGGGCAAGACATCACCCAGCAAGGTTTATCCATTAAAGCAGGTCACGAGAGGCATTAAGGGTAAGCCAGGAGGGCTTATGCTCAGCTGGGATCAAGCTTGGAGCCCTCCTCGAGCAAAGCTGCTCCTGGATGACATGTGTCCCTGCAGCAGTTGTGGCAAGGGCTCAGCTGCCAAGGGGGAAGCACCCACAGACAGCTTTTAGGAGACTTAAAAAATACAAATCTGGCACAGTGTGTAACTGTTTTGTTAACCTGTAACGTAGCAGTGGCCTCTGGGATAAAAATAGGTTTGCCTTTAAGCTTCAATATACACACTGTGCTCTAAGACTATGCAAGAGACCTCCCTCCAAATTACCATGTGACACTTTGAGTACTTTCTGTTAGAACACAGCAAAATAAATGCACTTTTCACAGCTTCTTAACTTCTCAACGAAACAGGCACAAGGGCAAGAGGACCTTACTGAGAATAATACTTTAAGATTGCATTTCAGTATTTATTAATTGATGCATTCATTTGTGTATCAGCTTTGATTTGTAAGTGGTCATATTTCCAGGCTAAGCATCTCTTGGGCCTATTCATGGTGCTGGTGGAACTGCTTGGTCGTTCAGGAGGAGTGTGCTTTGTGATTCCTGAATGCTGAGGATCTTGCTGTTTTTCACCTGGGAGCTTCAGCAGGGAGTTAGGGAGGAGTTTGGCTGCTGAGATGTTGCTTTAAGCACCAAAATACCTGAATCCTGCACACAAAATTGGTCATCCTATGCTGGTCTCTGCTGCATAGCAAGTTTTGGGGACACTGCTTGGGGTAGAGTGGGTGGCTGGACCGCACACCCCCCCCCTCCCCCCAGCTGAGGTGGGACAAAGAGACCATCATTTTTTTGGTAGCATGTCCCTTCCATGGTCGTCTTTCCCCTGTCATAAGCTGTGTTGCTTCTAATATTTACAGTGTAGAAGAAATATCATTTAATACCCAGCTCACAGCATATACCTTCCCATTATCATCTTTGATGCTACTTCCAGCAGCATGGGGCTCTTCTAAGGTTTTCTTGTAAAGAGTTGTTTGGTCTGACAGAGCATTGCTTCATTCAGTTCTGGGGTTTTTGATGTGTCACTACGGTTGCACTGAATTGCTGTTTTCATCTGTGTATGATAAATCATAAATAGGTAATTTCCTTGAGAGATAAACACTGTGTTTATGTTCTGAGGATATAAACATGAAGCTGCAAGAGCCCTTCAAAACCAGCCTCACTGAGAAGGACTTAAAGAAGGGCTCTGGAATCAGAGCATAGTCCTGAAAATGTAAAACCCAGGGATAAAACTTACAGCTTGGAAAAACTGGCTATTAATAACATTCAACCATATGTGTGCTGATTTCCATAGAGAGATATAAAATTTTACAGCTGGAGTTTATGCTCATTTTGCACATCTGCTTACCAGGCTATAAGCTGTAAGAGTCTCACTCAGCCCTCCTGTAAGAGCCAGCTCTTCATTGAGTTGGCTTCTAGTTCTACGACTAAGTAATTGTCACACAAAGCCTGGCAGCCATTCAGAATTTGGTCAGTCTGGTGTTAGTCCCTGTTTCCTATCAGTGATGGTTATCCAGCCCTGCACAGGTAAGCTGCAGTCAAGATCGGAGTTGATTTCTTGTCTTTTTTTTACTGCCCCTGCTCACTGCACCTGGTTGCTCAGGGATCTCTGCTTTTGAACACTTCCAGCTCTAGTTCAAAGGTGAATATACCTAATACAGAGCTAAGATGGGAGTCTAAGTGAGGATTTCCGATTGCTTGTTTTCGGGGGAAAAATATTGATGCAGGACACACACAACTTGGTAAAGATTCAAGGCCAGTATCATTAGTATGACAAATGAGCAAAATAACATCTCTGCAATGAAGTTTACAAGTAATTAAATTTTCCCAACCCAGGCACAGCTGGATTAGCTCCTTTCAGATGCTGCATTTCCTGAAGCCTTTTCCCAAATTTTCAGCTTGTGAGCTACAGAAAACAAGATGTTCAATGTCAGAGGCCCTGAAAACCTGCTGTGCAGAAGAGTTAGTATTTACCTCTCCCACAGTGCTCTCCATGTTCCACTGTAAGTGCATCAGGAGTGCAGCATGTTTGATAAAATGGGGGGAAGCCTGATGTTCATATGAACAAATGAAGTATTTCTGAAAATGGAACAAAAATATTCTGAAAACAGGTATGTCCCTTGGTATGCTCGGCTGTAATCTCATTTAAAGGGTTATATTGCATATGGAGAGCATACACAATGGGTGTTCTGTGTAGCTGGGCATGGATATGCTGTCCATGGGCAGCTTTAGCAGTGCATGGCATGGGCTCAGGATTCCCCAGCGCCACTGAGGTTTTCTGCCTTGGCTGCTGCCTCCCTTCTTGGTCCAAATCCCAGCCTATGATATGCTTCACCTGCTTACCTGAAAAATGAGGGACAAGTGATTTATTTGATATGGACACTCAGACAGTGAACAGGTATTTTAGATTTTTAAATTCATATATGAGGAAGGGCACACGTGACAGAATATAACCTAAATTTTAATTATGTGAATAACTGCAGCTCTCTGAACAAGCCTTCGGAGCCAGAGAATGAATAGTCTGAGCTATTTCATCTTCTTAATTAACATTAAAAATGTATTTTTATTAAGAGTCACTTCAAAGGTTGACTTTAAAATAGGCTCTGCTACTTGCTATCATTTTTCAAACCAGTATGGCATGCTTGCAGCAGCTCAAGCCCTTTTGGCTTGCATATGAAAAACTTCATTGTTTAACATTGCTATGTATTAATCCAATTGTCATTTTTCATTAAGCATTTTGAAGCTTTGAGCAGCTGCTCTTTGCATGGCAGCTCCTGAGGTTAAGATTGCATTTTCTTGCAAAAAGGTGAAAGGGAAGGTTATTTGGCAAACTCCAGTGTTGGGGTGTGTATTGTTGGGGTTTTTTTCTGTTTCCTGGTGGGCTCCAATTCCAGCAAAACACTGATCTTTGTTTTATGTTCTTCAAAATTCTTACGGTTATTTGTACCTACAGCTGAGAGGAGTTCTGTCCATACAGGACTTGTATAGTAAGTACCATAACTACTCATCTGTACTTCTAAAGAATTATGTAAGTTTTGTTTGGAACAAAGCGTGTCCTGAATGCACAGGTAATTTCATGGCTTTTCCAGTATTTTATCAAAACAGTCATGCAATGCTGGCTACATGCACAGACTCAAGGATAAAAGCAAGGGAAAAATAGTACTGCAAAGCCAAACAACTAAAATCACAAAAATACACTCATGTCACTACAAACATTGCAAAAATAAAATAAATAATTGGAGAGCAGAGCCAGGCATGCAGCAATGAGAAACTGGAGCCTACAAAACCACGGTTCATTGACTTCTGATAAATACTGGGGTAGTTCTGAGTTTTTCCAAGATTTGCAGGCCTGATGAAGAGTTGGAAAGGCACTGTGCATCACTGCGGCAGTGTGCTTTCAAGAACAGAGGGAATAGGTCAGACTGTACTTGGGGCCCAAATCCTGCAACCTTGGTGTCCTGCCATTGGCCGCCTTTCACCAGAAATGGTGTTACTGCCTGCCAAACACCTGCCTGGCCTGGTATAAACCAACACAATTAAAAAAATATTTAATTCACAAACTTCAGTCACTCTGCTTCCCTTTCTCCTGCTCTTCCCCACACCCCTTCTGCTGCTTCTTCTCCCCACTGCCATAAACCCCAGATTCTTCCTTTAGAAGAGACAGAACTGGAGAACTCTGTCTCAGTTCTCAGGTGGTAACTACACTGCATCTCTTTGCCTTTCACCTTTTTTTTGGTTTTGCATGCAGTACCTGGGTGCGGAAGACTTGTGCACAGCTTCACAAACGTGTTTATGCTTGGCAACAGTAATTTTAACTTGGTTATGGCTCAGAGAACAAGCTCATTGCAGAGTAATAGCCAATTTTAAATATTGGATGCCATGAAGCAGCAGCAGTGAAGGTGCCAGGAAGGAGGCTAAGCGTCGGCATCAGCCCAGGGTCTTCTAGCCAGTTGCTGCGCTATGGCTATGACCAAGAAGTTTCCCATCATCTTAAAAGCCTTTGTTTTTCTCCTGGAGAACCAGAGGGTCACAGTTTCATGCAAGGCTCTGCATCAGGTTTTCAAGGATAGCATGAAATTTATTCTCCCACTGGGGGGGAGCCCCTTCCCAGCACCACCAATGACATTTGTGTCCCAAACTGGTGTGGTTGGAGGCTAATGCCTGGGAGCACAGTGGATAAAAATGAGAAGGAAAAATGGCCCCATAGATCTCTGATGGTTTTGTTTCTATCTTTTTTTTTTTTAAAGCCCTCAGAGAAAAATCACATTAAAGTAGGCCTCATAAATAATTCACTACTGCTGACTTAATGCCTTTTTTGTGCAAAGGCCAATTATCAAAACAAACATTTAGCTTTATGTAGATCAGTAAATGAGAGAAGTCATTTCTATGACATGCGATATATGCTTTCATTTATAAATTTGCTACTGAATACAACTCTCTTCGGATCATTTTTTATAATGTTCCATTAAAAAAAGTCCCAACAAACAAACCTGCCAAGGTAAAAAGACTTTTGATGTTGTTATAGCTACTTTTTATATCTAGATTAATGAAACTTAATACTAATATAACAGTTATTTCACTGGCTCACATAAATCCAACTTTTTGCTCTTGTTAACAAGGCAGCACAATTAGTTGCTACGGATAGCTGCTTGGGGGGGTTTCAGTGCTCAGACACATACTTGACCCAGCATGGATGGCACCTCACAGTTGGCTGGAGCCTATGGCCTCAGGGGCTTGACAATAAGCATTTCCATGCTATATTGAGGCATGGCAGCACACAGGCCATGGGAGCTTTAGGGTGAGGAGCTGAAGTGATCCTCAGTGAGATGGGAAGAATGGGAAGAGAAGATGGATTAACTCCCCTGGACTGGCACTTGAGCAGTCTCCAAGTAGACGGTTTCCAAGGATCGCTGGCAAGGCAAGTTTAGTGTAAGTGGTCTTTTACCAGGGGAGCTTGACTCTAAAAGTAGCACGCTGTCTCAGTGAAGCTTTCATGTAGCAACAATGTTGAGAGACATGTGCCTTGAGCTACAGCAGTGGATAGTTAGCACCCTGCTCAGGCTCTTGGGGAGGAAGATCTGCCCGCAGCAGAGGAAGATCTTGTGGAGGCACTTCAGGAAGGCAGGCTGTTAAGGTTTTTAACATCCAGTGCATTGAGCTTTGCAGTTAAGCTTCTTACTGCTGTGGAAGTGGTGAGGAGCAGTTCCTATGTACTGCTGAATTGGGTCAAATGATGCGTGGCAAAAAAACAGGTTTGGCAAATGCAGGTCTCCTCCTAGGATGTGAATGGACTTATTTGTTCAAAATTACTTGCTGCATGGTGAATCTATTCAAGCAACCTCTAGTACCTCATTGCCTGAAAAGGGTTTTCCTATGTATCTGTCTCCAAGAAAAACTAGTAATTTCAAAACTGTCAGAGTTTTGCTAAATATTGAACAGGTTTGCTCTGGCTTAATGAGAAAAAGAATCTGTGTAATCTGTTTCTTTTTCATTCTTGCAAGAATTTGCATTTTTTAAAGCACTTTTACAAAGTTTTATTATAAAACAAACAGTTCAAAGTTACAGATCTCAAACTTGCTTAGCGCTAGCATTCATAAATACAAGGTACTTCATATACATTCTGAATACATTTTTTTTAAAAAGCTCTTCTCACTGATGCATGTGGGCATGGTTCAGAACCTGCAAACCCTTCCCTGGAGCCTCCCCACAAGAGTTCAGGTAAGTGACATTAACCAAATCTTTGCTTTATTAGATTATCTTATTGGTAGCCAAGTTTATAGCACTCGTTGCCAAATAACTCTTATAAATCAAAGTGAGATCTGAATCGTTTCAATTTTTAACGTAGATGTGAGTTCATGGAAAGGTACATCTTTAATGTTTTATGGCTTTAGTGCTCAATATTCAGAGAACTCCTTTGACTTCAGTAAAAAGTGATGGGATTTGAGGGAACCTCTGCTTTCCTAGCTGAGAGATTCAGTCTGATTTAAGTGGCTCTGTTGATCTTGCAGAAGAGCATCTTAAGCATTATTCATTCCTCTGAGAAATATGTGATAGTTGAAAGCTGTTAGGTTTTTACCATTATTGTTTGGGTTGTCTTGTAGAAGGATGAATTGCCCAGTTTAACTGATCACAAATCAGCATCCCAAACACTGCACTCTGTAATTGCACTTCATGTAATAATTTATAGTTTCTTTAGTAAGAATATGGCTTATGGGTTATAAAATAGAAGCAGTAGAAATATTTAGCTAATGGATTTTTCTAAGCCACTGCAAAAAAATTTATTTGCATTATAACTTCTCTGAACCATTCATTTTTATAGAAGTATCCATTTCCCAAGCAAAGCAACATTATTTTACTCAAGTCCATCTCCTAGACCATAGAGAGGGCAAGGAATGTGGAAAAAAAGGTGACTTACTTTACAAATACTTTTTTTTTTTATGCATAGTAGGAGAATGCTTTACATACTACCCATTGGCTTTGCACGCTGTGTGCTCTTATTTCCTTGCAGACATCCGTGTGTTGTCCACCTGTGGAAAAAGGCTACTAGGCAGCGTGGCCAAGTCTTGCTTGTCTTCTCCTGATGTGCAATTAGACTGAGGCCAAGCTGCTTCCTAACACTGCCAAGGGCTGAGAAGCACCCTCTGCTCCCACAAAGTACTTACCATAGATTTACATGCTCCAAATTCCTACAGCTGAAGCTAGCATTGCCTGCTTGCTATAAACCCACAGCACATGTATTTTAACACACATCTTTATTAAAGACCGTGGTGGCTAATTTGCATCACCTTCCTTCTCCTCAGCTAGTGCCAAAGCCCTGTGTGATGGCTTGGGTTGCCCACCCTGGGGAGACAATGTAGGGTGGCTGCAGTTCCCAAGCCTCTGCTTGAAATAACATACGCCAGCTGGGCTGTAGTTTGAATCCAGGCAAAGAAAATGAGTTTGAACTTCTCATTTGCTTGAAAGTCTCCTTCCTGAATGCTGCTCTCTAATCCCAGGACAGCTGTCCCAAAGGACAAGGCTTCCAAGAAAACTGCAGCACTCCTTTTAACTATCCACCAAGTTTAGAAATCCTTACAGCTTTTGCTTGCTGTGTGGCCCTGGCATTTTGATAATTGCTTCAGCCTCTGTTCAGCTTGGCTCTGTCTCCTCTGATGATATGTTTCCTGGTTCAGATGTTTCACTCCTGCTTATTAATTCACCCTTTCTAGTCATGCTCTATGCTACTTTGTCTGTATTGTATTTGGGAAGGAAGGTGAGAAGTACTTATGCTGTTTTTTTTTTGGTCATCCACTTTGGGATTGTGTTTGTAACACTGTTAGTGTAAGGGGTGGCACTGAACTCTC